TAACTACCCAGCTCCAATTTCAAACCAGCCTACCTAACCCTCTTTTTGTTAAAAATCTGACAAGCCACTCCCAGTGCAAAGCTCTGCCCAGAACCTCTTCTTCTGGGCTCTTGGCTGGCTTATGCTTTCTCGTCATTCAAGTCTCTGTTCAAATGTCCTCTCCCCAGAGAGGCCTTTCTAAGGGTGCCCTGGACAGTGTTCAAAATCACAGGCTGTAAGCCTGAATAGCACTGATCCAAGGCACTAGTATTTCTTACCTAGTCACCTGTGGAAACAATCCAGTTCCTGTGGGAATGTTGGAATTTTTTTTTTTTTTTTAAACAGAGCTCTGTTTCCCAGGCTGGAGTGAAGTGGCATGATCATGGCTCACTATAACTTGGAACTCTTGGGCTCAAGTGATCCTCCCACCTCAGCCTCCCAAGTAGCTGGGATCACCAGTGCGTGCCACCATGCCTGATTTGTTTTACTTTTTTTTTTTTTTTTTTTGAGAGGGAGTCTTGCTCTGTCACCCAGGCTGGAGTGCAGTGGTGCGATCTCGGCTCACTGCAACCTCCTGCTTCTGGCTTCAAGCGATTCTCCCACCTCAGCCTCCTGACTATATGGGACTACAGGTACACACTACCTTGCCTGGCTAATTTTTGTATTTTTAATGAAGACGGGGTTTCACCATGTTGGCCAGGCTGGTCTCAAACTCCTGACCTCAGGTGATCCACTCGCCCTGGCCTCCCAAAGTGCTAGGATTACAGGCATGAGCCACCATGCCCTGCCTGTTTTACTTTTTAAATTTTTTGTAGAGACAGGGTCTCGCTGTTGCCCAGGCTGCTCTTGAAACTTCCGGCCTCAAGCAGTTCACCTATCTTGTCTTTAAATGCTGGGATTACAGCGCCTAGCCCATTTTTTTTGGTGTGTACATCTCACATTAAGAAAAAATTTTTTTAGCTGTTAAAAAAAATTGAACGCTTTTAATATTCTTTTGAAATTATTTGGCTTCAAGGAAGCTCACATTTATGATTCCTTTGATTTCTTGGCAATCGTTGCATACTTAGGGATATTTGTGATTTGAGAAAATCTAATTTCCAAATGTAATTCGATTGCTTATGAATACTAAATTTAATGATTAATGCAGTTGTCATGATGTCATATTTCTAGATGCTTATTTAAATATTTATTCATTCCAACTTTGTAGTTTTCTCTTTGCATTGTGGAACATTTTTCCCTTTATCCCTGTCCCTGACCTTTTCATAGCCCCTGAGAAGCTCATGAGCCACCAGCATTATTTCCGTGGCGCTAATGAAGAAAGTGGCCCTGTCTATGATGCATTATCCTTACAGCTGGCTGAATGATCTTCACTTGTAAACCAGATCATGTCATTACTCTGCTTAAAACCTTCAAAGGCTTATCCTACTTAGAATGAAACCTAAGATCTTTCCTATGGCTTAGGCTGCCCTGCGTGGTAGCCTCAGCTGACCTCTCAGGCCTCATCTACCATTCTTCTTGTCACTGCTTTCAAGCCCAGCTGGCTTTATTCCCCTTCTTTCAACACACCCAGCTTATTTCTGCCGCAGGGCTTTGCACTTGCCGTTCCCTCTGCCGGGAATGTGCTTCCTCCGGATAACTGCATGGCTGTCTCATTCTCTTCGCTTGTGGTTCAGCTCAAATGTCCTCTGAAAGAAGACTTCCCAAAGTACCCTATTTAAAGTACGCTTTCTTGGCCAGGCGCGGTGGCTCATGCCTGTAATCCCAGCACTTTGGGAGGCCACGGCGGGCAGATCGCGAGGTCAGGAGATCGAGACCATCCTGGCTAACATGGTGAAACCCCGTCTCTACTAAAAATACAAAAAAATTAGCCGGGCGTGGTGGCGTGTGCCTGTAGTCCTAGCTACTTCAGAGGCTGAGGCAGGGGAATTGCTTGAACCTGGGAGGTAGAGGTTGCAGTGAGCTGAGATTGTACCACTGCACTCCAGCCTGGTGACAAAGGAAGATTCCGTCTCAAAAAAAATAAAAAAATAAAAAATAAATAAATAAATAAATAAATAAATCTCTGTAAAGGGTGGGTTTAGCATAAACCTGGAATGTGAAAAGTACTCAGTGTGAACCAGCCAGGTGCAGTGGCTCACGCCTGTAATCCCAACACTTTGGGAGGCTGAGGCAAGTCGATTACTTGACCTCAGGAGTTCAAGACCAGCCTGGGCAACATAGCAAAACCCCAACTCTACAAAACATAAAAAAATCAGCCGGGTATGGTGGCATGTGCCTGTGGTCCCAGCTACTCAGGAGGCTGAGGTGGGAGGATTGCCTGAGCCCCAGGGGCAGAGGTTGCAGTGAGCCAAAATCGTACCACTACACTCCAGCCTAGCTAGGCAATAGAGCGAGACCCTGTCTAAAAACAAACAAAAAACTATGAACTGTTAGTAGCACATAGTAATAAGCAGATATGTCTTCATTCTTCCTGTGTAATACTTCAGGTGCACACATGCTCAAGAAAGTATGAGAAGTGCTATAGCAAAATACTGTTACCCAGCTTAAAAGCTAAAACATTAGAGATGCAACTGAAGGGCCTTATACCCTACATGAAATCCTTTCCTCTTCCTTTTTCCTCAAATGTAGCCGCAACCCTGAATTTGGTGTTTACAGTCTTCTGTGCATATAGGCGTGTATCTTTAAACAATAGTTTTTGTCATGTTCTATACTTTTATATAACTGGTGTCTGTGCAATTTAGAGTTAACCTAGCAGGCCTGAGACTGCTATCCTTAGAAAAGCCTGTTTGAAAGATTGGCCCTTGGCTGATATCTAGGAACCTGGATTTCGGGAGGGTTCCTGCCGTTCCCCAAATGATGAGTGCCAAAACTATTTCCACTCACAATGTGGTTCATGTTGAACACCTGCTCTCCTTCTGGAGTCTGGCATTTTGGTACACAACCACCCCCAAATACAACTCTGGTCACTGAGTAATGAGCTTCCCTGGTAGATCGCATATCCCTCGTGCTGTCGTACCTGGCAGTAGGAATTGATGGAGTCCTGTGTGACTCCACTAGAAGAGGACTCTTACAAGCTTGTCCTGGTTTCCTCCGGACTTCAGCTCCTGCGTCTTTTCCCTTTGCTGATTGTGCCTTGTGTCTCTTCACTATCATAAATCACAACCATGCCTACACCTCCAAGCTAAATCCTGTGACTCCTCCTAGTGAGTCATTGAACCTCAGTGTGGTCTTGGGGACCTCTGATAGCAGGATCATACTGAGTGTATCCTGACAGCTGGTACTAGGGTGGCACTGGGTTCTGCCTTCTGAAACTTGCTTCTTTTTTTTTTTTTTTTTTTTGGGATGGGGTCCCACTCTATCCCCCATGCTGAAGTACAGTGGTGCAATCTCGGCTCACTGCAAGCTCCACCCCCCGGGTTCACACCATTCTCCTGCCTCAGCCTCCCGCGTAGCTGGGACTACAGGCGCCCGTCACCACGCCTGGCTAATTTTTTGTATTTTTAGTAGAGACGGGGTTTCACTGTGTTTGCCAGGATGGTCTCGATCTCCTGACCTTGTGATCCGCCCGCCTCGGCCTCCCAAAGTGTTGGGATTACAGGCATGAGCCACTGCGCCCGGCCTGAAACCTGCTTTTTTTCATCCAGTGTAATGCTCTTGAGATTTGTCTATGTGGAAACGTGTGTAGCTCTAATTCACTTAGCTTCACTGCTATACGACTGTGCTGATAAGGTAGCCACTAGCCACATAGGGCTATTTAGATTAAAATTAGACAAAACAAATAATCCACTTCCCCAGACACATAGTCACATTTCACATGTTCAGCAGGAGCCTGTGGCTAGTGGCAGCCATGGTGTATAAAGAACATAAGGAACATTTCCATGAGAACAGAAAGTTTTGTTGGACAGTGTTTACTTATCAATTCACTTGGTTGAAATTTAGGGTGTTTTCAGTTTTCTACCATTACAAACGGTGTGGCAGTATGCGTTGGTATCTATGTCTCCTTGAGCACACGTAGGAGTTACTCTGGGAGATATACCTAGGAGTTGAAGTACTGGACGGTGGGTTCTGGAAGTATTCACCTTTATGAGATACTGCTAATCTGCTCTTCAGAATGATGGTACTGGTTCTCACTCCCACCATTAGTGTTCCTGTTGCTCATTGTCTTTACCTTTTATTTATTTTTATTTTTATCTTTGAGACAGAGTTTCGTTCTTGTTGCCCAGGCTAGAGTTCAATGGCACAATCTCGGCTCACTGCCGCCTCCCGGGTTCAAGCAATTCTCTTGCCTCAGCCTTCTGAGTAGCTGGGATTACACATGTGCGCCACCACACCTGGCTAATTTTTGTATTTTTAGTATAGATGGGGTTTCACCATGTTGGCCAGGCTGGTATCAAACTCCTGACCTCAGGTGATCCGCCCACCTCAGCCTCCCAAAGTGCTGGGATTACATGCATGAGCCACTGAGGCCGGTCACAGTGTCCTGATAAATATTTGCTATTGTAACACTTTAAAATGTTTGTCCTTCTGATGGTGGGAATTAGTGGTTTCGGATTGCATTACTTTGATGACTATTGAGGTAGAGCTATTTTCACATGTTTATTGGCCATTTGCCTTCTGTGAATTGCCCACTTTTCTGCCGGATTGTCTTCGTCTTATGGAGTGCAGTTGTTCTCACATCTGAGCCTTGTCTTTTATTTTTATTTTATTTTTTGAAACGGAGTCTCGCTCTTGTCACCCAGGCTGGAGTGCAGTGGTGCGATCTTGGCTCACTGCAACCTCCGCCTCCCAGGTTCAATCGATTCTCCTGCTTCAGCCTCCCGAGTAGCTGGGATTACAGGTGCCCGCCCCCGCGCCTGGCTAATTTTTGCATTTTAGTAGAGATGGGGTTTTACCATGTTGGCCAGGCTGATCTCAAACTCCTGGCCTCAAGTGATCCACCCACCTCAGCCTCCCAAAATGCTGGGATTACAGGCCTGAGCCACCGCACCTCCCCCGCTCAAGAAGTCACACAACTCTTGTCATTCCAAGAAATCTTAATTTCTTTATTGTTTGACTTTTTGACTCAACAATTTTTTTTAAACTTTTTGTTTTTTTCTGAAACGTTCTTGTTGTTATGAGCCTTTTGTTTTGTTCTCGTTAAATGCACTCGACCCAAAATTGGTTTGGCATATCGAAAAGGAGACCAAGGAGGGAGGGGCTGGGGTGTGGGAGGCGGGGAGGAGGCCCAAATGGACAGAAAGTTGAGGATGAGAGAAGAGGAACATAGAGACAGCGAGAAACACGTGGGGAAAGAGAGTTGGAGACAGAGAGAGAAAGGGAAGGCAAGGGAAAGCCAAAAGAAACCAAAATCCAGAGAAAAAGAATTAACAAGATTTAGGAGCAAAGTTCAGGAGCCCAAGGAAGGGAGTAGGAGAGGAAACCAAGACCCTTCTCTGTACCGTCCCAGCTGGGTTGGGGGCGTCAAGGCACCAGGTCTGGTTAGGTGGGGGGGACACCTGGGCTCTGGGGGCAGCTTTGCACTGGACTGCAGTGGTGTCCAGCCCCAGCAGGGGGCCCTGCCACACAGCTCTGAGGCCTAGAAGCCACTGGGTGATGCCGGCTGAAACAGGACTGATAACACCCTCTCTCCCTTTGATTGTCCGAGTCTGGAGAAATACAAGGAAGGCTGGGCAGGGAGGAAGTGGGCCTCCCTGTGTCTCTCAGCCCCCCTGGAACTCTCCCAGCCCTCTTCCTGGTGTTGGGGGCAGCCACAGGCTGTAGCTGGGCTGCTGCCCGGGCCGGGCCGGCTCTTTGCCTGCCCGGCTCTTTGCCTGCCCATGACTCCTGCCCGCTCTTCACAGACCTCTGACCGCCCCTCCACACAAGAGCTCCTAGCCTAGTGCAGTCCAGGAAGGTCCATGGAACTGTCCCCTGCCCTCCTCGGAGTCGTCTGGGAAGACTGTCCCTGGCCTCACTTCTCCTCCCCATCTAGACTTCACCCATAGTCTTCTGGTGTAATGAGTTAGGCCCTTCTACCAGAAAAAGCCAGAGTTGGAACCCAACCCCACCTCTTCCCCACACCTGTTCCCTTACACGGGACAAACCACCATCTTTGGTCTGACCCCTTCTCCCCTAATTGATGGGGACAAGCCAGCCCCAGCTCCCCAGGAGAAGGGAGGGGCTTTCTAGCAGCAAAAAGGGTCCCTCCAGCCACCTACCTGTCCCCTTCCCCCCAGTTCCTTCCTGGAGCCCCTCCCCCTTAACCCAACAAAGTTCATGGCAGCAGCAGGCTGAGACCCGAAGATGTTTGAAAACTCATGGCACTTGTGAGAAAAGAAGGAGGGGCAAAGAGACGGGGAGAGGTCAGAGCAGAGGTGGACGGGCCACCTCTGGGGAAATGGCAATGCAGGGGCTGGGCTAAGGTGGCCTCAGGGCTATGCTACCCCTAGAGTTAAGGGGAGGGGACTGGGGAGGCTGGGCTGACAGGCTGGAGAGGAGGGGGCTGGGAGAGGTGCTCAGGAGACATCCCGAGCCTGGAGCTTCCAGGGTCTGGGATTTGGGGTCAAGCCCCCCCAGAACATGGGTGTCCTGACCCCAGCCCTGGCACCTGGCTTCGTCCTCTCTGCGGGAAGGTGGAGGGTAGGGAAGGTGATCTCTCACCTTTGCCCCTTCCCTCTCCCCCAGACAGAAGACCACGTTGCCACTCCAGCACCCTCCTCAGCCGTACCCATGCCCTCCATAACCCCAGTTCCTCCCCATTTTCCTCCGGCCATCAACCCCTCTAGGTGGGAAATCAGCCCCATTTTCCCCAGCTAGAGTCCCCAAAGCAATATACAAGAAGCAGGAACTCAAAGGGACAGCGCAGCCATCTTGACAAAGTATCTTTGGGTGTGAGGGGGTCTCCCCCGGGCCGATGGGGAGGGAAGGGGGAGACAGGCCTCTGGTCCTGGGGCAGGCAGTGAGGTACACGCCCCAGGAGGGCTGATGATGCTGGGCAGGCAGAGCAGGAAAGGAGGGGACAGAAATGGGTGCCAGGAAGGAAATGGGTTCTTTGTTTCGCTGTTGCATCTAGATTTTGTTTTCTGTCTCTGGATTGTAAAAAGCTGCTCTGGCGGCCCGCCCGCTCCGGCGGGGACTGGGGATGCACGTACACGGAGAAGTCCTGGCTGCCGGGCCGGCAGCGCCGCTCTGCTCCGGAGAAAGCCCAGGTTGGCCCGGGCCGCAGGCTCCCGGTGGCTTCAAGTGATGAGATTTTTTTTGTCTTTTTTTTTTTTTTGTCTTTTTTTTTTTTTCTTTTCCATTTCGTTGAAATATTTACAGCAATGGGGAAGGAGGAGGAGGAGAGAAGATGGAGTAAGAGGGCCCCCTAGGGAAAGATCCAAGCCCAGGACCCACTCCCCAGGGAGATCCAGACCCAAAATCTGCTCCCCAGATAGCCGAGCCCACAGGACTGGGAACTGCCCAAATATGGCCACCCCTGTGGGCTGGGGGCCCTACGGGGAGTTGTGCTTCATCAGGAGTCGCCCCAAGGGAGGGGGTCATTGGGTGCACTGGGAGGCAGAGGGGGCAGGCTTGCTTGGGGGGCAGGGACCAAGAGCAAGGGGAAAGGAGCTTCAGAGAAAGTTCGACCTTTAAACCACCAGCCATCACCGCCCAGTCCCCCTGCCCTGTGGCCTTTTCCCAGTCTCCAGGGAGCAAGGAACTGTAGCGCAGGAGGAACCTGTCCATCTGGCCTGCCTCACTGCTCCCTCTGGGTGCAGCCGGCAGCATTTCTGGCTGCAGAGAGGAGCAGCTGACAGGTTCGATCCAGTAGGGGCCTTTGGCAACCTCAGAAGCTGCCCCTCCCGCCCAGGGAAACTAAAGCCCTCATTTCCCTTCACTGCGTAGAAGGGTGGGAGAGTGGGGAGTCTGGAAGTGGGCTGCACCCTTCCAAGTTCTCCCTCCTCACTCCCCTAGGGACTTCTGGGCTCCTCCTCACTACACTTCCCCCAAATAGAGCTGGTGCGTGTGGCTGGTGGGAAACCCTGTCTGTGAACCCTGGCACCTCAGGCCCCCAGGTCAGAGTCCCCTGAGGGGACTGTAGGGCCCATGGCTGAGGGGCACCTGGAGAGAGTGGCCCACCAGCCACTGCCTCCATCTGTCTCCCTCTCCCACCAGAGTCCTGCCCAGGGTTCCCTCCCTGGCCTGGGCCACCAGCCCCTGGTCCATGAGGTCCCCTCAGAGACTGGTGACCAGCTGCATCTGCCCGTCCCCATCGGGCCCTGGCCCCTCAAGGCCTGGGGCTGCCAGGTAGCCCTCGTGGCTAGGACGCCGCACCTGGTAGTAGCCCTGCAGGGGATTCCGGGCCACCAGGGCTGGCGGGCGTGAGGTGTAGTAGATTTCGGGGGGACCAGGGGGTGCAGGAGGGGGTGGGGGCAGGGCCTCACTGGGCCCCTCAGGGCTGCTGTCCGGGTAGGAGGGTGAGTCCCGCAGGTTGGCCCCGCTGGCATAGAGGGAGTCCCGGCCCGGAGGGGAGGAGAGGGGCCGGCTGGTGGCGCCGTCCTCGGCCGTGCAGCTCTCTGACTCGTCCAGATCGCTCTGGTACAGCACCGACTGGGCCCGGGGCAGCAGCAGAGGCTCCTCCAGGGCCTTATAGAGAAGTTCAATCTCAGCCCGGTCAGCACCCCCGGGCCCGCCTGCCTCTTCCTCACCCCCGCCCCCTGGCACAGGTGGCACGGGGGGCTCAGGCGGTGGAGGGCCCTTGGCCACGCTGCTGCTCCCCCGCAGGTTGTTGTGCACCAGCTCCGAGATGATCATCTTCTCGAAGGCCGCCGCATCCGCTAGGTTCCGGCCTCGGGGCGGCTCGGGGCCCCCATCCCCGGGAGGGAAATCCCCACTTCGCAAGGAGTAACTGTTGTTAAAGTTGCCGTTCAGGGGCAGGGTGTCCATGCCACAGGCTTCCCGGCCTCCCAAGGGGTGCTCTGCAGGGCAGAAAGGGGCTGGTAAGGTAGAAGAGGGGCCCTGGATGCACTAGGGGTTAGTGAGGGGATGCGGTCTGTGTGAAGTGGGGCTCGATTCCTGCTGGTTTTCCGTAGGCTTCCCCCTACCCCCTGGATCTCTGGTCTCACATCCCCTTTCTCCCTCACTGGCAGTAGAGACACCAGCCCAGCAGTGGATTGATGAAAGGTAGGGGACAAGGACCAGTTCCCCCAGGGTCTCATCCTCAGCTGGAGGCTCAGAATCTCAGCAGTGTGAGGAGGCCTGGGTGACAGGATCCCTTTCCTATGCTCAGACCCTCAGCACCTAACGGCCTAAACTCAATGAACACCATCCATTATCCTCCATCCAGCTGCCAACCAGAGGCTGTGTGTCAGGGGGTGGGGAGATGTGGGCATGGGAAGGGCATCCCAAGTTCTCCTCCTTAAGTGAGGCCATCTGAGAAGGCCACTGTCTGTCCCTCTCCCAGCCTCAGAAACATCCCCAGGGAAGAGTCACACTTACTGGGTTCCCGGTAGCTCCCTGCAGGTGGCAGCCAGGAGAGAAAAGAGAAGGTGAGGGTGAGCTTGAAATGCAAGTCCAGGCTCCAGTTCTGGGGCACAGAACATCCCAGGCGGAGGTCCCTTGGGACACAAACCCTCCATTTCCCAACCTGGGATGCTTCCCCCGTGCTCTCACCTGGGGAGTTGAAGACAGGGGGCGAGGAGGGATTGAAGCCCACCGACTCGGCGATGAGGGTGTTGTAGGGGCTGGTGCCCCCACGGGGCTGCAGCACAGGGTTGGTCAGCAGGTGGTTCCCCATGGTACCTGGCCAAGGGATCAGAGGTCACAAGGTGGCTGGGAGCCTCTAGAGACCGGTGCCAGAGGCAGAGGGACGCCTTCTCACCTCGATTCAGGGTTGGGGTGCTGTTGATGTCACCCGCCATGAAGGAGGACTCCGTCTGTTTCCTCACAGTGTCATTCCACATCCTCCGAATTCGGCTCTGGGGACACAACCCAGATGTGAGGGGATCCTTGGGCCACCTACCCTCTGGCGTCTTTTTGAGACTGCTCAGCCAATCCTCACGATCAGAAACCCAGGCCAAGCCACTCTCCGCCTCTCAGGCTCTAGGTCCCAACACTCAGCCCCAGGGAGCCCTGTCTGGCCTGATACCTGAGTCCCTGTGTAATAGCGGGTGTTGCTTCGCATGGCTGAGGTCTTGAGGGATCCGTGAGTGCCCCCGGGAGGGGAGCGGATGCAGCAGTAGGAGTGACGCAGGCACTTGCTGTACTCCTTGTGCACCTGGGGGGTGAGGAGGACAGTCAGCTGGTCGGGACGCTGGCCTCCTCTGTGATCCAGCCTACCACAGGGCTGGTCACAAGACAGCCAGACTTGGGAGGCCAGAGACCGAGCTTCCAATGACTATGTTGCCCTGTTCAGCAACTTGCAAGCCATGGAAATCTTGCTGTCCCCTGTCCCCCAGCAGCCAGCCGATCAGGTTTCAATCTCTTCTTACTCAGGCCCATCCTCTTCTCCACCTCCACTGAGAGTTTTTCATTCATTTATAAAATCAACAGAGCATTAATGAGCATTCGCTATGTGCCAGGCACAATTTAGGCCTCAGGGATGGTATGGAAGACAACAGACACAAATCCGTACCTCTGAGAGCTTATATTTCGGTAGACAGAGACAGAACATAGATGAATATATAAATATGCAGGCTGTTGGATGGTGTCATGTGCTGCGGAGAAAACTATGGCTGGAAAGGGGGTTAGGCAGTGCTGACTTGGGAGCAGGTTGTGATTTTTTTTTTTTTTTTTTGAGACGGAATCTCGCACTGTCACCCTGACTGGAGTGCAATGACACGATCTTGGCACATTGCAACCTCCACCTCCTGGGTTCACGCAATTCTCCTGCCTCAGCCTCCCGAGTAGCTGGGATTACAGGCGCACACCACCACACCCGGCTTTTTTTTTTTTTTTTGTAGAGACAGGGTTTTACCATGTTGGCCAAACTGGTTGTGATTTTAAATAGACCAGAGGAGGCCAGGCATGGTGGCTCACACCTGTAATCCCAGCACTCTGAAAGGCAGAGGTGGGTGGATCACCTGAGGTCAGGGGTTCAAGACCAGCCTAGGCAACATGGTGAAACCCCATCTCTACTAAAAATACAAAAATTAGCTGGTCGTGGCGGTGGGCATCTGTAATCCCAGCTACTTGGCATGATAACTGCTTGAACCCACGAGGCGGAGGTTGCAGCGAACCGAGATCGCGCCATTGCACTCCAGCCTGGGGATAGAACGAGACTCTGTCTCAAAAAAAATAATTAAAAAATTAAAAAACCTAAAAAAATAAATAGATCAGAGGAAGCCTCATTTAGGCCAAGGTAAGAACAGGGGCTGCACTCTGAGGAGGGTCCACATCTAGGTGTCTGAGAGCAGAGGTTGGAGGGAGGGGAGCCGAGGGGCCCAGATCAGAACATAGGGGCCTGGGGGTCCCTGAAAGGACATCGCTGTCACTGCGTGTGAGGTGGGGGCCACGCAGACACTGTCTTTGACCATCTGTCTGAGGAGGGGCCAGGACAGTGTTGGACAGATGGACAGAGCAGGGACACAGGCCACCTCCTCCCTTGCAACCAGGATTCTCATGATCACTGCCTCCGCCATCCCCTGCCTTAAGCCTTATTCGCTTCACCATTCCCCAAGTCTAACAGCAGTCTCCATGGCCCGCACTGCTGCCAGGGCTGACTCTACAAACGCCTCAGCTCCGTCTCCCCAGCTTCAGTCCTGGCAGTGCTGCCTGTACCCCCCACTCCCTGCCCACATTCCCCGGCTACTGTTGTCCCCTTTGTTTTTTTTAAATAGAGACAGGGTCTCTGTTGCCCAGGCTGGTCTCGAATTCCTGGGCTTAAGCGATCCTCCTGCCTCAGCCTCCCAAAGTGCTGGGATTACAGGCATGAGCCACTGCACCCAGTCCTTTGTTTTGTTTTGTTTTGTTTTTTCTTCGAGACAGAGTCTTACCCTGTTGCCCAGGCTGGAATGCAGTGGCATAATCTCGGCTCACTGCAACCTCCGCCTTCTGGGTTCAAGCGATTCTCCTGCCTCAGCCTCCCAAGCAGCTGGGACTACAGGCGCCCGCCACCATGCCCGGCTAATTTTTATATTTTTAAAGTAGAGACAGGGTTTCACCATGTTGGCCAGGCTGGTCTGGAACTCCTGACCTCAGGTGATCTGCCCGCCTCAGCCTCCCAAAGTGTTGGGATTATAGGCGTGAGCCACCGCGTCTGGCCTGTATGTTTTCTTAAGATTCAGATTTTAACACATTTAAAAAGATCCTTTCTGTCACCACAAAATTCACAATTATTTCCTGAACTATGAATGCAGGCAGTGCTCCCTCAGGGTGGCTCCCGAAGTCCTCCCCCTCCCAGGCCTGACTCGTGGCCCCCATGGTGGTGAGGGTTCCCCATCACCAAATCTGTCCTGCTCTCACTCCTCTAAGCTGCTGTATCTTGCTTTTTTCCAGAACCCTCTTCACCTGTGGTTAAACCCTCCCTAGCCCTAAGCTTGTGCTCCCCTCCCTGTGGACGCAGACCTGACCGTAGAAGCCCTGCAGCACTCACTGGGGGCTTGAGGGAGCCCCTGAGTCTCCTCCACCCTCGCTGCCTTTTCCTGGATGCCCAGGAAATGTCTCCAAGGGAGGCTGTGACCCAGGACCCCGCCTCGACCTCACCTTCTTCTGTAAGGCGCAGTGAAAGACGAAGATGAAGACCCCCTGGAAGGCGTTGAAGGTGGTGAAGAGATAGGCCATGACCACTGACTCCTTGTTGATGAAGAGGAGGCCGAAAGCCCAGGTGAGGCCCAGCAGGAACAGCAGCGCAATGGCCCCCAGAGCCCAGGATCTGGGGGTGGGGCGATAGAGGTGTCAAAGTACCCGCCGGAGGGGACGGCCTCAGCCCGGGCCTCCCCTGCAGCCTACAAAGGGGGTCCTTGGGTGGTCCTGGGCACTGTCTGCAAAGCCCTGAGCAGGTTGAGTGGGCCTTGGGGGCAGTGGCCTGCCCAGGATGCCTCCACCCCAGCCTGGGCCTGAGGGAGAGGTACTGGGTCGGGGTCAGGGTATTGGGAACATCAGTCATTCCTCTGCCACCTTCATTGTTTCTGCCAAATTTCCAGACCACTGAGGCTACATTTGCTGCCTATTTCTCTTTAAGTTGCCCTTAAACAGACTCACCTGTTGAATTTAGCCTCACCCTACACAGTCATGCCTCTAAAACTACAGGTTGGACGTGCTAATGATATACTTTCTAAGACCCATTAAGTAGGCACATAGTGACCACAATAAAACACCCCTCTTGGTACCTAAAATCGCAACATGTGTCACCAGAGGTGACAGCACTACTTTTTAGAACACCCTGGAGGAGGTGGGCCCAGCGCAGGGTGGGGGTGTGTGATGGGGCAGGGGGCAGGCAGGGGCGAGGCTCACTTAATGTTGTCCAGGCGGCTGGAGTCAGGCTTGAGCACAGATGAGCTTCGGATCATCTTGTGCAGGGTCACCATCAGGAACACCAGGTTGACCTGGGGGTGGGACAAGGGACGGGCTGGGCTGAGAGTGGCCCTGCCTCCCTCAGTGAGCACTGAGACATGGGCCCGGCCTGGCGAAGTCTCAGCTGTGGCCCTCGCCTCTGCTGGGAGAACCCTGTATCTGCCCTGAGGTGACAGTGAGCTGACTGACATGACTGGCAACTGAATGCCATTCCTGGCTGCTGGGAGGACAAGGTCCATGGCCTGACACACGGTAGGAGCTCAAATCACAGTCCCCCAGGCGAGTAGCCCTCAGCAACGGAGCTCCATGAACCCAGCACACTCTCATCCTCTCAGCTGGTGGCTCAGTTCCGATGTGGGGAGTGTGTGTGTGTGTGTGTGTGTGTGTGTGTGTGTGTGTGTGGTGGGGGCAGGGGCTGGAGTCAAGGCCAGCCTGGATGAAGGAAGATGTGGTGCTAGAGGTGTCACCTCCCAACTCACCACGATAACGAAGGAGACGGGTCCGATGAAACTCCAGATGAAGTAATTGTCCACTCGGAGCCAGCAGCTGTAAAGGAAACAGGGCCGGGGTATAGAGAGAAGCCGAGGAGCCATTCCCAGCGACCCATGAAGACCTAGGACTCTGCAGGCTGCAGCCTCTGGGATCAGGAGGAAGGGAGGCCACCGCCCTGAGGGTCCTTTCCCAAGGGGTGCCGCCCAGCAGGGAACCAGGCGGGAGGAACCGGTGCAGGGCCGGGAGGTGGAAACTCACGCCTTCTCGGTGCCATAGCTGCGGTAGTCAATGGCAGCCGCGATGCCCACCACCAGAGCCGGGAAGCAGTAGCCGCCCAGGTAGTAGTACTTGGTGCGGGAATACTCGCTCTCAAACACCTCCACCAGCAGCAGGTAGAGGTGCACACCCTCCAGGCACAGCCAGGAGAAGGCGGCCAGGAAGAAGTAGTGCAGCAGGCCAGCGAAGATGGGGCAGGCAATCTGCAGGGAGCACCAAAGGTGAGGGGCTGCTGCCCGGACAGGTGTCCCCTTTCCTCTCCTGGCCCCCCGGGCGCTGGCTGTCACCTGCCCTTGAGTCCCAGCCCACCTCATACTGAGTCTTGTCGATCCCGACCAGGAAAAGCAGCTCAGCCAGGAAGAGGTTGATGCACAGGTTCTTGTGGATGGTGTTGCGGTCAGTCTGTAGCCCCCGCAGGAAGCAGAAGGTGGAGATGCAGATGGCCAGGCAGACCAGGGAGATCACGATGCCCACCCAGGTGATGACCGACAGCAGCAGCTCGTTGATGCGGCCCTGGTACTGGGGACAGGAGGAGGGGCCACGCTCAGGGCTTTTGGTTTTGCACACTGGGCTCAGCCAGGTGCCAGCTGCAGACAGGGCCCTGGGCAAGGCCATGGGCCACGAGGACTTCTGGTGCCGCCAATCTGGCAGCCCCCACCCCTCTGCACACAGCAATGCGCTCACTTCCTCATGCTCTGGAAGGCTTGTGGAGAGATGACTAACGTGACACCAACTTGATTCTCCAGAGTGCCTTGGGAGACGGTGGGACCATGGCCATAGATGACCAGAGAGAACCAGATGCATGGCCTCATGCCCCAGGCAAGACTAGGGGCCCCCCACAGCCATGAGGCCGGCCTCCCCAGCACTGCCCATGATCTCTCTAGGATGCCATGCAAAGCCAAGCCAGCAAGCGGGCCTGCCCGGAGGAGCAGAGTGCCAGCCAGCTTACGATCTCGCGGTGAGCCATGAGCACCGCGAAGTTGGTGAGGTGGCTGCAGGCACACGTGGTATGGGTCTTGTTGGACTCCACCAGGCGGCAGCCCTGGGTCGACCAGTAGCCCAGCATGGAACGCTCCGAGTAGTTCCAGAAGGAGCAGTTGGCATTGAAGTGGTTCTTGTCCTGTTGTGTGGTGGCGCCGGGGTGTCAGAACTGGAGTCAGAACCGGGGAGTCCCATTCCGGCCCCCCACACCTGGCTACAGGGATGGTGCCAAGTACCAAAGAAGTGCCTGGAGTCTGGGGCTCCAGCTGACATTGTGAGAGCTCTGGAGACAAATGGCCCAAGCTACTGAAGTGGAAGAACCCATAACTTGTTCTCGAAGTGAGCACATGGTGGAGGGGCAGGTACACAGCTTGGGAACACAGAGGATACAGGGACCCCCATGGAGGGAGGAGGACAGCTCAGCTCACCTCCAGGTGGGCCACAGTGAAGATGACAGGGTCCATAAGGAAGACACGGCTGGACTCCTTGTTGATGGATGCTGCGATGACCTGTGAGTTCACCACTAGAGAGGCGCCCCCAGGGCCACCCGGGCCTGCTTCGCCGGCCAGCTTGACTGTGGCATTCTCCGTGGACAGGAAGAGGCCCAGGTTGTTGTAGAGGATGAAGACAACTTTGACCACCCCTGGCGAGGACAGGCATGTTTGGATGTGTCAGCATCCTCAGCTGGCGCACCTCTGTCCAGGCCCCTGGCTTCCCAGCTCGGCCAGCTCCTCAGCCCTCGGCCATGGTGGCCACTGGGACCTCTGAAGCCACTCCATAGCCCAGGCAGGTGGGGGGCAGGGAGCCCTGTCCACAAGACCACTGCTCAGCCGAAGGCAGTTCGAAACAGCAGGGCAGTGTGCCAGGACACATGGGCTGGGCCTCCGACCCACCCATTCTCACTGTGTGACCTTGGGCAAGCCCCTGACCTCTCTGAACCTTTGTCTCAGTGGCCCCATCCTGTCTGAGCTGTGAGGCCCAGGAGCCAGCTTTGCAACTGTAAGGCTCACCCTTGGGGCTCTGCAGCACTTCAGGGAACCCATGAATCCCCTCAAATTTTACACTAGCAGGAGGAAAGTTCAGGACTGCTGCCCTCCACAAATGGCACAGAGATGCTGGCACAGGGCTGGGGGGGGGAGGGGGCTGCCTCCCCAGCCGAGGCCCCGCCAGGGACACTGACCATTGCGGCTGTTCTGCTTGATGGTTTTGGCAGACAGCTGGATAGAGTTCTTTCTTGGGTACTCCTCCTGGGGGAACACCAGCTCCTGCACCTGGCCCTCTGTGTTCAGGACTGTGACCTCCAGGACTGTGGGGACAGGGGAAGGCAAGGCACACGCAGTTGGGGTCTGTTCCCAGTCCAGGGGCTCAGGCTACAGAACAAGACCCTGTGGCAAGATGCCCAAGGGTCAGGTAGCTCTTCTGCGGCCTCCAGGCCAGAACCCCATGGTTTAAGGTTCATATCTGAGTTTGCTCTGGGTGACCGTGGCACTCACCCACGTTCTCCTTGGCAGCCAGGAAGCGGGCAGGCTCCCTGACATTGTCAGCCAGCAGGAAGGCACCCTCCTCCAGGACGTCCAGGAGCATGGTGGCCGTGTGCACCTGCTCCGTGGCATTCATGTCCTTCCAGGACTCCAGAGCTTCTGGCCGGAGCAGATTGTCCACTGTCTCCACCACGGCCTGCGCAGGCAGGGGGGATGGTGCTGTGAGCCCCTCAACACCCTCTAATTCCTTGGGGTGGGCTCTGCATGCCCTCTTCTCAACCTATACCCCTATTCTCCCGTCAGCCGGAGCCCATGGTCCTTACACTGGGACCCCTTGGGTCTCACCTTGATATAATCCTTGCAAGTTCTCTCTCGCTTGTGCATCTAGAAAGAGATGGAGGTGATGTCAGGCCAGACCTCTGGACGCCAGTTCCCTCACCCCAGTACTGTCACATCTGTATAGCTCTCTCATCTGTGGCTACCACTGACCCAGGGCTGGGCTATCAGCAAGACATTCCTTAGGGATCCCCAACACCCAGCACCGTCTGAGGCAGCACAGGAGTGAGACCCAGCAGTCCTTGGGCGGGGGGGGGTCCTTCCTCTCTGAGGAAGGGAGTGGAGGTGGCAGCCTGGCTGGGAGGTACCAGATCGGATACTTCCTGTGCCCCTGGGGGCAGGTGCCCTCCCAGCGCCAGGTCAGTGCCGCCACCAGGCCCCACCTTGTTGTAGTTCTTTCCAGCTGACTCGCGCTCGATGGGCCGCAGGGCCTGCAGCTGGGCGTCCAGGATGTCCAGCAGCTGCTCCATCAGCTTCACAGAGGAGGAGACGTCCCCCGCGTAGATGGAGCCCCGGGTGTGTCGGGCCAGCTCGCTGGCGATGTTGGCCGCGTTCTCCCCACTCTTGATCTGTATGAGGTGGGGGGCAGGGAGGGGAAATCCCAGGTCTGTCAGGGACCATCCTGCCCTCCCCAGCTTCCCTGGCCTGTGCAGCCTCTCCTCTCTCTCTCTCCGCTTCCCCGTCACCATCTGCCCTTTCCCACCCCATCTGTCCCTGCTCCCTTTGTAGGCCAGAGAGGTGACCCCGCAGTCCTGCCTTCCAGACCTGCCAGCCCGAGTCTCCCCAGTTGCTCCACGACCCCCGCTGGGCCCTGGGCCCTGGGCCCGAGCACATGTGCCTGCCTGCGAGGGGCGGTGGCTGGTACCTTCTGGGCCACCTGGTTGACCCAGGGGGAGGTGCAGTTGCTGAGGTCAGGGCCCCGGGGGTTCCAGAGCCCCAAGGCTGGTAGACACTGGAAGGAGGCAATTCCTGCAGGGACAGACAGACAGGAACAGACAAGGGAGCCAAAGGGAAGAAGAGAAGGATGGGACGGAGAGGGGGAAAGATGACAGAGAGCGGGGGACGAGCGGGCGAAGAGGGAGGTGAGGGAAACACGGAGAAAGAGACATGAAGCGGGCCGGACAGTCGAAAGAGGCGCCACTCCCTTTGCCTGAGCTCTCCCTCCTGCCCCCTTCTGTCTTTGCCTCCAGAATCAGACCCTTCCAGCAGGGCCCATCTTGAACGCCCCCTCTCCACGAAGCACCTGCCAACCCTCCCCTCAGATCTCCAGGACATGCGGCCCTGCCCTTTTCGCACTTCAGCTGGCCACCCATGTGAAACTGGCTGTGCCTGGGGCAGTCACAGGTCAGCCTGAGGCTGGGAGCCAGGTCGCCTTCTGCAGGCTCCCTGCAGGTTCCGCAGGCCGGGCCAGGGGCACTGAGTGGCTCCTGTGCCCTGAGAGCTCTGCTGGTCACTGGGGATGAGCCCTGCCCTCAGAAAGCCTCTGCTCCTCAGCAGAGACCACCACCCACACATGCATCTGTGCTAAGCTGCTGGGGGCATGGCCCCCATCCCTCCCCTGGCCGCAGCCTTGGTACTCACCTCGAGTCCCCTTGGGGCAGGGTCTCTCCACCAGCATGCCCTGCTGGGTGGCCGGCCACTGGACCCGCCGCACCTCTCGGGGCTCGCAGAAGAGCTCAGGGGACACATGTAGATTCGGGGCTGGGGGCCGCCGGGTGCTGGGGGCTGGGGCTGTGGCTGGAGGCAGATCAGGTCCCAGCTGGTTGATGGCACCCACTGGGTGCGTGGTGAGGGGTGCCCGGCGGAGCGGGGTGGTGGCTGCGGGCGAGGCTGTGCTGGTGAGGGGCGTGGGCCTGGCTGTGGTGGTCGTGCTGAGGGGTGGGGAAGTGGCTGGGCCTGGAGAGGGGATATGAGACAGGGTCATCCCCGTGCTCAGGGCCATGCCACAGCGTGCCTAGGCAGGGGGTCCCAGGCCATCCTAGCATCTTCCTCACCTACTGCAGTGGAAACACATGCTGGGCCCCGCTGGGTCTGGGAGTTGATCTCCCCTGGCCTCTCTGTGCCCACCGAAGTCCCTTATGCCCATGGGACCACATAAAGTAGCAAAGGGTAGTAAAAATCCACTATGTGTTCCATAAAGTCTGAGAGAACAGTCAGGAGAGGCAGGGACAGAGGTGTCTGGGGGACAGGAACCCTCCCAGGTTGAGCCCCGGAGGGCAGGAGCCCTCCCCGATCCAGGTCCGCCGCGCCACCAGGCAGGCACTGAATACCACCGCCTCCCACCCTCCTTCTAGCTGACTTTGGCTTATGTAACCTGGCTATGCTCCTTCCTTCTGGGGGCCTCAGCTCCCCCTTTTGCAAACAAGATGGGGTTAGATCAGGCTTCCTGGAGCCCTGGGGCGGCACAGAGCTAGCAGGGCAACTAAGGGGGGTAAAAGAAGACTGCAGAATTGCCCTCAGCCCGGTCAACATCAGCAGCTCAGCTCTTTTGTGGATATTGGACTTCCACCCAGGATTTTGGTGGATCCAAGGGTTCCTGGAGTAAAGGTGCCCAAGCCCCAGGGAGAGGCAGTGCAGTTCAGTGGTTGGGAGGCTGGCTTCAAATCCTCAAATAACTTAATCCCCTACCCACACAGTGCCTCAGTGTCCTCATCTGTAAAACAGGGCAGTAAGGATCCCTGTCATAGACCATGAGGAGGAGATGAGTTAATGACTGTGAAGTGCTTAGAACAGCATCTGTAACATGCTGTGAATTTCCTTTACCTCCCGATCCCCAAGAGCTCACAGGATGGTGCTCCCCACCCTGGGACCCAGGGGTGGGTGGGGGTGGAAGGGACAAAGGCAAGCGGGCTCCATGCCTGGAAGTGAGTCGTCCTCACCAGCACTGGGGTCGGGCGGCCCGAACTCCAGGCTGTAGCGCACGACGAAATAGTTGTTCCAGACGTACAGCTGGTTGTCGCGAGGGTTGTAGTCAACGGAGGAAATGAACTGGTAGGGGTTGGGGAAGGCGAGGCTGACAGGCTCCTCGCGGTTGGCATTGGTGTTGAAGGCATAGTCCACGCGGTTGCCAGCCGCCTCGCTGTCATCATCCACGTACACGGAACGCAGCACGTACAGGACCCCGCACACCATGAAGGCGTTGGACGCCGACCGCTTGTCGTAACCCGTCTCCCATGTGCCCTCGAAGCGCAGTGTGTAGGGGTTCAGCTGGCTCACCACCAGCCGCCCGTTGTTGCCCTCGGTGGCGTAGATGACCCACAGCCCATTCTCGTCCACCGCCAGATCAATGTCGGTCTTGCCGCCCCAGCGGTAGGGCGAGGTGTCATGGTAGTTGGCGGTATTGATGACTGTCTCCCCGCTCTTGATGCGCGTCCGCAGGTCATACTTGACGATGTTGCGCGTGCGCTCCTTGTTGTAGAAGACGGCACCATCATAGACCACAAAGCCTGTGCCATCCACGCGGTTGGGCAGGCGGTAGGTGGTGGTGTGGCGGGCGGCCACGTAGTCCTCCCACGAGGCGTACTCGGTCAGCGTGTCCGTGCGGTAGGGGATCCAGGGCATCACGTAGATGCGGTCACCTGCCTGCAGCGGGTCCTTGCACCACGCGCCAGACTGGTGCTCCGACTCATGTGTCGAGGTGGGCTCCAGCACCTTCTGCAGGGTCCCTGGGCACACGAAGACTGGGCAGAGCGGGCAGGAGGGGAGGAGATGGGAGAGGAGGGGCAGAGGCGAGAGGGAGGAGAAAGAGAGAGAAGGGGGAGAGAGGCAAGTTGGTCACGCTGCCGGCGGGGAGTCAGGTTGTCCCCTCCTGCTGCTGCAGTCACGGTTGCTTGGTAGGGCTGGTGATGGGAAGGGGGTTTCCGGGCTGGGACCCGACCCCCCTCCCCACGCCCTGCCCAGCTGCCCCTCTCCCTGGAAATGTGAGCCCTGAAGGCCATTAAGAGCAGGGTTAGTGGGGGGAAGTGGTGCCCCTCTTCCCTTCCCTGGCTGCTAGAGACCCCACAGGCTGGGGAGAAGGAGTTGGCAAGAGCCCTCCCAGAGGTGGTCCCGTGTGATTTAAGTGGGGGCAGAATCTCCCCCACTACAGTCACTCCTGACTTTGACGGTCCAGGGACTTAACACCTGGCCCCTTCTCCCTCTTCTCTGCCACTTAGGGAAGAGCTAGGGTCCAGGGTCCCATCCTTCACCAACCACACCCGGACAGACTTTTTTTTTTTTTTTTTTTTTTTTAAACTCCACTTTCTTCCTCCTGCAAAAATTGCAATGTAGAGTGATGTTCCCATACCCACTGTGGGTGTCAGGAATGTCCCCCTATTCTAGGCTGGGGGAAGGATAGGGGTTTCAACTCTCTCCCCAGGTTCCTGGTGCAGCCTGTGCCCCACCCCCACCCGGTACCCACGAAGTCAGTAGCCGAGGAAGGGATTCCCAGAGGCAGCTCCCAGGCTAGGACAGGGAACGGAGAGTCTGGCCCCTCCTGGAGGGCACCCAGCCCTGCCCCCAGCCGGCAGGGTCTCTCATGGGGTCTGGCTCAGCAGCAGACAGTGGCACTGTGCACAGGGGTGGGGGTGGGAGTGGGGACATGGAGAGGGACAGGACTCCCGGGAGAGTTGGGGAGGGAGCAGAGAGCTGTGCAGAGGGAAGAGAGACAAGGGGGTATGGGGGCTTGGCGAGGTCCTGGCTCCATGGGAGGCCGCGCTGCAGACCACCTGGGAAGAAAGGGTTAGTGCTGGCGGAGGAGAGAGGGGTGAGCAGAGAATTCACTCCAAGGCCCAGGCCCGACTGAGGGTCCCTCAGGGGGGCAGTCCCAGGTCCAGCTCGGAGGGGGCAGGGGAGGGAACCAGGCGCTAGGATAAAGACCCAGCCCGCCCCAGCCAGGCCCCCCACCTCCCCTGGCCCGGACCCCGATTTACCTGCGACCATCCCCGGCTCGGGAGGAGGGACCAAGGCAGCGCTGATGTCAGAAAGGTGGGGGGCCCCGCCCCACCCCCCCAATCCCTGAAAAGGAGGAAAACCTCAACTGCATCTCGTTGGCCGCTGCTGGCCGGCCCACCCTTGCCCAGTCACGTCCCAGCGCCACCTACTCCTAGCCTCCCCTTGACTGATCCGGGGGTCAGTGTGGCCAGACCTCCCACCTCCTCCCAGAGTGCCGACGTCCATGCGCCCCTCCATCCAGGCGGCCGGGCCTCCCTCCCCTCCCGGCTGGCAGAACCCACACAGGCCGGGGCGGGGCACGGGGCGAGGGTGGAGGGTTTGCAGTGAATTCTCTGCTCCTGCTTGGCCTGTCACCAAAGCAGCTGGCCCCAAGGGGACCGGGGGGGGCTGGGACCTGGCACCGGCTTGGGGGTCAGCCCCAGTGGCAAGAGGGGCTCAGGCAAGAGCTAGTCCTCATTCCCCACCTTCAGCAGGCTTGGGAGGGAGGGGGACAGGCAGCACTCCCTTCACAGCATGGGGACAATGTGGCTCAAGGCCCCCTGGCACAAAGCAGCCAGGAGGATGTAGTTTTGTAGAGGGAGAGAAGCCTGGGACACAGAGCTGGGCAGGAGCCAGAACGACCCTGGCTTGGGCCCTGGGGACTGGCCATCTCCCTGTCCCTGATGCCCCGAGGGGTTCGGCCTGCACACTCCGTCCAGCACACTGGCTCTGCCCAAGCCGGTCCCCATCCCCGCCAGGTGTGTGGCATCTGAGGGGACATGTTTGTGTGAGGGGGATGGTGGGAGGCCTCAGAGCCTAACCTGCTCAGAGGGTATCAGGGGAGGAAAAATGTGGTTAGAGGTCAACCCAGGGGAAGGGGGAGAAGATGAGGAAGGGTCTGTCTGGGGCCTTGGACAGCAAGGACCCTTCACCAGCACCAAGCTCCCAATCCCTCCTCTTCCCTCCCTTGCCCCATCACCCCACCCGCCCTGCCCTGGCCCTCGAAGAGAAAAGCTCCAGTGGTGCCGCATCCAAACCAGTGGGCCTGCAAGAAGAGTGGCTGGTGCTGGGAGGGAGAGAGACTCCAGGAGAGAGAGAGGAGAGTGGAGGGGTGCGGTGAGGGGGCAGACCTCGGGCCAACAGCCCAGGCCTCTCTGAGATGGGGGAGAGGGGAAGACGGGGAGGGGAGCAGCTCAGAGGGGCCCTGCCCCACCTCCTTTGGAAGGGATGCTCCACAGACCACTGTAATTTCAAGGCAAAAGGGATCCCTAAAGGCCATTCCTCCAGCCCCGCCCACTGCTGCCAGCCTCAAATGGGTAATTTCCCAAAACTTTCAGGGGAGGAAATGGTCATCTCTAACGTCTCACCCTAGAAGCCCCTCAGCAGCAGCACCTCCGCCCCACCAGTAACGGACAGCCCCATCCACTAGGGAGTTCTCTGCCAGAAATTACAGAGTCTGTGGAAGTCCCCAGACTGTGCCCCCCCCCCGCCCGCCGCCCCTCTCCCTGGTCCTCTAACCACAACAGCCCAGAAGAAACCCTGACTGCAGCTTTGCAAGTGTGAAAGAAACAGAGAACACGCTCCCCCACCCTTCGCTCCCCCAACCATGAGGCCCGCCCCCGCCCCCTCGCCCTCATTTTTTCATTTTTTGGCAGGCTGCCCCCTCCCAGGGCTGGGGACAGCTGACACCCCTCCCCAGGGCTGGGCCCCCAGCTGGTCAGAGATGGGATCGGGTTGGGGGTGGGGAGGACTGGTGCTCCGTGCTCCAAAACAGCTCTGGGCCTTGGAAACGTCAAACCAGAAGGAACTTAAGCCACCAGGAGCCCGAGACATAGGAGGAATCTGCTCTCCAAAAGGAAAACAATGGTGTCCCCTCCAGCCCGCCTCCCCTGAACCAGAAACATGTTATAAAAGGTGCAGGGGAAGGAGGAAGAGAGAGGGGAGAGACAGAGAGAAAGAGACAGAGAGAGAGACAGAGAGAGAGAGAGACAGCTCACCCGGTGCCCCAGTGGGGGAGCCGGGGAAGGGAGTCCCTCCCTCCCCACCCGCCCTGGATGCTTATACACTTCTCCTGAAGGAGGCAAAAGAAGTATGAGAGAAGGCCAGGTTCCCTGAAAGGGCCAGGGACCAGGAAGGAGGGACAGAGGGAGACAGAAACAGCGAGAGAGAGAAATTCTGCCCAAGCTCAGAGAAGAGCTTCCGTGGGTATCTGGAGGGTGGAGATGCCCGTGGCCACACCAGGGCTGGCCCCGCTGGGAGGACAACCCGGGGTTGGGGATACCGACCGGACCGAGTGTGGGTGGGGGAGAGAAGAAGGGGCCGGGAGGGAGGGCAGGTCACATAAGTATGGTACAGGTAGAACAAAGTGTGAGTTAGGGGTTAGCATTGGTAACAGTGCGTTTACCTTTCTGCTCCACTTCTACTTTAAGCATCGGAAGAGAGAGAGAAAACAAATTGAAAAAAAAAATGTGCAAGAAAAAAAGAGAAAAAAAAAAAGAGATTAAATTGCTTTCGTTTCTTTTCTGGCAACACGCCCCCTTTTCCTTTCCTTCCTTGCTCCTGCTTCCCCAACCCCTTCCGTAGCATCAGCTCGGGCCCCCGCCCCCAGGTCCCTTCCTCTGGGGGTGGTCAGGTGGGGTCAGAGGGTGCCAGGGAGACAGTCAGAGGGATGAGGGGGACACACGTGGGAGGGAAAAGACACAGAGAGACACAGGTGTGGTAGGGGGGTACAGGCAGGCAGGTGGACAGAGCCCTCAGGTGGGAGGGGGCACCCTTGGTGCAGAGGGGGCAGGGAGTGGGGAGGCCCAGCTGGGAGGTGGGCTCCGGTCAGAGGGGGCACCAGGGAGTGGTGGGGCGGAGAAGCCACTCGGCTCCCTTCCCACCCTGCCTGCTGCCCTCCTGCTAGAACCAGGGGCCCCAGGGGAAGGGGTTCAGTGTCACCCAGGGCCTGGGCCCACCCTCAGCCGAGAAACAGGCTGAACTCCTTCCCCTTTGTGCTGGCCTCACCCAGGTCCAGCTGACTTCCCCCAAGCCCTCACAACCCAGAAGAAGCAAACACAGAGAGAAGGAGGCAGAGCCAGACACAGAACAACAGAGAGGCAGACAGGCAGTTGCACCCGGACCCCAGAGAGAGCCAGGGTTGGGGAGATGGAGGCAGAGAGGTGGCGGGGGTGGGGGACACAGACTGGGTGGGACAGCAGGTGGGGGCACAGACACGTTCCCAGGCTCCCCAGGGGCAAGCCTGAGGTTCGGCTTCTCTGCTTAACCCACCCAGGGCCCAGGGGCCCAGGAGATGGGAGCTCCGCCCTGCCCGCTGCCCTGCGGACGGGTGGCACCTAGGGGAGGAAGGGGCACGGTTAGACTGTGCTCAGCTGCAAAGCAAATCCAGCATTAGTCGGGCTTGTCCAGTGTGTGGGAGGGTTCCCACACATCACATGCCCCCTGCCACCCACCCCTGACCCACCCTCACCAGCACTTGGGGTCACCCCAGCCTCTGAAGCCCTGGGCCAGGTGGCTGCCCAGGCCGCTCCCCTCTGCATCCCTGGCCCCTCAGGAACTTCTGACCAGAGGGACTGGCTCTCCTGGCCCCTCTTTGAAGCTTCCAGCACGGAGCTCCACAGGGTCAGCCTCTGGCTCCCTTCCCAGCGCCTCACCCAGGGCCTGGCACTCAGGAGATGCTCAGCGAACATTTGGGAGACAAGTGAGTGCCTGGCCTCCCTGTCCTCTAGCTATCTCCTGTCCCCCTCTTTAACTCCAGCCTCCTTCCTCTGGAGGATCAGGAGTTAGCTCTGCCCCCAACATCCACCCCGTATGTATGCACACACGTGTGTGTGCATGCGTGTTTTGTGTGTGCGCATGTCTCCTGTCTCCCCAAGGGCTCAGGCTATCTCTCTTCCATCAGACAGGCGGCCGCCCATCCTCTGAACTGTCCTGCCCTCTGTCCCCGGAGCCCGCCTGTTCTCTGTCGGTTGTGGCCCCTGGACCACACTCAGGGCCTCGGCTTCAGGTCTCTCAGCTCCTCTCCTCCCCTAGCTTCTTTCTTGCCACTTGATCTGAGCCTCTCGTCTACTTGCTTTGGCTTCCACTTGGACCAGGGAGTTTTTCCTGCCCTTTATCTTACCGGCCTCGGGAGAAGTTGGGTTCATTATCCGTTGTTATTTTAATTTTGATTACCACAGCAATAATCGTAATTGACAAGAGGCATTACAAGGAGTTGCAACAAAAGCAACAACTACCAAGTGTCCAGCACTCACGAGGGGCCAGCAACTATGCTAGGCACCTCACGGGCCATCTTTCAAGAACCCTGTCTACAGATGGGAAAACTGAGGCACACACATGGCTGGCGGAAGCAGGCACCATTTCCTTTGCATCTATAGCTCGTGTGCACACAAGCTTGACACACTGTCGCTACTCTTTGCAGCTTCCAAGGGAAAGCTTTTGACCCCTCTTCACCCCATCACAGATGAATAAACAGGCTCAGCTGGCTTAAATGGCATCGGTAATATTACTGAGTACATCCTGAACCAGGCATGGGTCTGGGCGCTGGGGCGGCGGGTGAAGATGAAGCCTCTGCCCTTGGGAAGTTTACACTCGGCACTCAAAACCCTGCCACCGGGAGCGACTCTGTGGCCGGCCTGGGCCAAGCGCGTCTCACAGGTCATCTCGTGGACTCCCTCCTCCTTCCGTAGTGGCCCAGAGAAATTAAGTCATTTGCTCAGGTTTCAGAGCCAGAAAACTCAAGAGTCCAGTCGAGCCTTGAACCTACACCCATCTGACTGCCCCCCCCCGTGCTGAGCTCGCTGCCTCCCACCCCCTTTCCCGGCTGCCCCAGCCGCGGGAGTCGGCCGTGTCCCCAGTGCTGTGGGGAGGCTTCAAGGAGCAGATGGGCATCCCCCTCGGTGGTGGCTGAAGGCCTCAGGCGCTGAAAGGAAAGGACGAGGAGTAAAAGAAGAAAATTACGGAAGCACAGAAGGGATCCTGTTTCCCCAGCATCGAATCACCTGCGAGGAGAAATCAAAGGTTGGCGGGGAAGGTTGGGGTGGGAGGGGAGAGGAGGGAGAGTTACAGGGCCTCTTGGTCCCCAACCCCGGCCCACCACACTCAGACACCCTGATGGCCCTGCCTTCTCCCCACCCTGCCCGGAGGCCCTACCACCAGGTTGGCCACATGGAACCCATTGTGGGAGGAGAGGGGAAGGGATAACGGGAAGGAGGGAGGGAGGAGAGAGGGCAGGAAAAAGGTGATGTCAAAGGTGGGGTGCTGAGGAGGAGAGACCCTGTCTTTGTCTGATCCCCTTGGCCAGGTGCAAGATGGGGAGGCTCCTGGCTCCCCAGATCACTTTCTTCAGGCGGCCTGGAGGCCATCCTCAGTCCAACATGGCGGTATTTCCTTTGCAGACAGGAAGTGCCACATGGTAATGGGGAAACCAATGGGGAGCTATGAATCTGTTGAAAATGCCCCCCAGCCCTTCACCCTGGATCTGCCACCAGGCCTCGGAGGGTGGTATGCCGCTCTATGGGTGTAGAGTCCAGCTTCCATGATTGGGAAGGAGTGTGTGGGGAGTGAGGGTGCTGAGAGAAAGAAGAGGTGTTGAGAGGGGCAGTGGGGTTAAGTGAGAGGGAAGAGAAGGGTAGATGAGAAGGGTCAGAAAAGGAAGGGATGTGAGAAGAGGAGGGAGGCAGATGGGCGAGAAAAGCATGGAGGCCAAGGGAGAAAAGAGAGATGTAAGGGTGCCAGGCAGAGCACGGGACCATAGCCTGGCAGTGTGGAAATGACTACAGGGTGCATGAAGAAGCAGGGTGAGTGGGCTGGGGTGAAGAGAGCTGGAGAAGGTGCCCCCACAGGAGGTGACAGAGTCTGTGAGGTGGGGGAGCAGGCGCTGAGTAAGGACAGTGGTGTCTGGGAGAAGAGAATGTGTGTTGGAGAGAGCAGGCCCGGCTTTCCCCTCTGTGCCCAGGCCCCATGCATGTGTGCGAATGTGTCAAGGTGTCTCCTCCTCACTCACTCATGGGGGAAGGGCCCGCGTCCGCACAAGGAACAAGATGACTCACTGTAGGGGACACAGTCGTACTGCACCTCCAGGTACTTGTAGGTCCCAGGACAGGGGTCAGGAAAGGCATCCGAGCCGGCGACCACCACGCACTGGGTGCGGTTGTTACACCTTCAGAGGAGAGACAGGGTATTGGGAAAGAAACACATAGACTGGATTGGGGGCGGGAGGGGTTCATGCTCCAGGGTCATGGTGTCATAGACACCCCCAAATTGGGAAGGGGCAGTGGAGCTGGAAACCAAGTGATATAGTTTGGATCTGTGTCTGCGCCCAAATCTCATGCTGAATTGTGATCTCCAGTGTTAGAGGTGGGGCCTGGTGGGAGGTGACTGGATCATGGGGACGGTTTCTAATGAATGGTTTTAGCACCATTCCCTCCGTGCTGTTGAGATCTGGTTGTTTAAAAGTGTGTAGCACCTCCCCTGTTCTCTTTTCCTCCTACTCTGGCCATGTAAGACGTGCTTGCTTCCCCTTCACCTTCTGCTATGATTGTAAGTTTCCTGAGGCCTCCCCAGAAGCAGAAGCTACTATGCCTCCTGTACAGCCTGCAGAACTATGAGGCAGTTACCCTTTTCTTTATAAACTACCCAATCTCAGGTATTTATTTATACCAGTATAAGAACAAACTAATACATCAAGCCCAGAGGTCTTTTTTGGGCACTTTTTTGTTTCCTGCCTGCTCTCTCTTTCCCACCAGCCAGCGTTCTTCTACCTTCAGCCCCAGCACAGCATCATCCTCAGAGCTGAGAAGGAGGAGTCACCCCCTAAACAGTGCTTTCCTGGACACCCCTCATCACTTTCATTCTGAATGTAGCTGACAATATTATATCCTCGGCACTTTTCTTTAAATGGACTTTAAAGCCCCCGCATTGGTCACTGGAGAGTAATACATGTGAAGCCATGCACGTGAGGTGGTGCCTCTGCGAACTTACGATCAATGAAATGTTCAGTGTCCAGCTGTGTCCACTTCACACCATCTCGTGGACACGTCCCACCCTTTGGGCAGTGCTGCTGTGCAGACTTATAGCCAGGGCAGCCAGGAGAAAGCGTCCCCAGGGAAAAGCCATTCTCAGTTCCCAAGAGGGAACTCCTCCAAGTCACTGTCAACTTCCCAGGGGGCTGGCTAGCATGTAAGGGGGAACCTATTTAACAACAACAAAAAGATGTGTCTCATCTGCTATCTGTCTCTCTGTCCCCACTGTCAGGGTCCCTGTCCCTTGCAGCAGGCTGGGGCTAGGCCAGGCAGGACGCAGGCATGCAGGACATAGTTTGACAGGCTTCCCGACAGGTATGGGGCAGAAGAGGCCCTGTGTCTCCCCTTCAGTCCTGCTCTTAACCAAAGGTACTAAACACAGGCAGACACTTGAGAAGGGACGAAGCATCTAGCAGGGAGAGAGAAAAATGGGGGGCAGGATGGGGCATGGGAAGGTCTGTCTGTATCCATCCACCTCACCCTCTTCTTTAAAAATAGAACACTGGCTGGGCGTGGTGGCTCACACTGCAATCCCAGCACTTTGGGAGGCCGACGGAGGTGGGCGGATCATGAGGTCAGGAGATCGAGACCATCTTGGCTAACACGGTGAAACCCCATCTCTACTAAAAAAACACAAAAAATTAGCCAGGCGTGGTGGCAGGCGCCTGTAGTCCCAGCTACTCAGGAGGCTGAGGCAGGAGAATGGTGTGAACCCGGGAGGTGGAGCTTGCAGTGAGCTGAGATGGCGCCACTGCACTCCAGCCTGGGCGACAGAGCAAGACTCCGTCTCAAAAAAAAAAAAAAAATAGAACACTGGCTGGGCGTGGTGGCTCACGCCTGTAATCCCAGCACTTTGGGAGGCTGAGGCAGGCAGATCACCTGAGGTCAGGAGTTTGAGACCAGCCTGACCAACATGGTGAAACCCTGTCTCTACTAAAAATACAAAAATTAGCCAGGCGTGGTGGTGCGTGTCTGTAACCCCAGCTAAACAGGAGGCTAAGGCAGGAGAATCGCTTGAACCCGGGAGGCGAGGTTGCAGTGAGCCGAGACTGAGCCACTGCACTCCAGCCTGGGTGACAGAACGAGACTCCGTCTCAAACAAAACAAAACAAAAAACAGAATCCTGGGGCAGGGTGCAGTGGCTCACGCCTATAATCCCAGAACTTTGGGAGGCTGTGGTGGATAGATCACTTGAGGCCAGGAGTTTGAGAGCAGCCTTGCCAACCTGGTAAAACCCCATCTCTACTAAATATACAACAATCAGCCAGGCGTGGTGGGGCACAGCGGCAATCCCAGCTACTCGGGAGGCTGAGGCACAAGAATCGCTTGAACCCAGGAGGCAGAGGTTGCAGTGAGCCAAGATCGCACCACGGCATTCCCGAAGTAGACAATTCATACGTTTTGAGTTGTGTGTTGTTGTGAGTAGCCTGATGAAATCTCATGCTGTATGGGGCGTATCCATGCTGTATCTGCTCCCTGTCTGTTAGTCACACTAGTGGTCATCTCAGTTATCCATCAACTGTCACGGTTTCATAGTGCTTATGTTCAAGTAGCCCTTAGTTTATGTAACAACATTTTACTACTAAAAATTACTATTGTTGTTAGTATCTTACTGTGCCTAGTTTATTTTACTTTATTTTATTATTATTATTTTTTGAGACAGGCTCCCGCTCTGTCACCGAGGCTGGAGTGCAGTGGTACAATCCTGGCTCACTGCAGCCTCGGCCTCCCAGGCTCAAGTGATCCTCCAGCCTTTGCCTCCCAAGTAGCTGGGACTACAGGTATGTGCCACCATGCCCTGCTAATTTTTGTATTTTTAGTAGAGATGGGGTTTTGCCATGTTGCCTCGGCTGGTCTCGAACTCCGGGGTTCAAACAACCTACCTGCCTCAACCTCCCAAAGTGCTGGGATTACAATTATATGCCATCACACCCAGCCTATTTTATTTTATTATTATTTTTTAGACAGGGTCTTACTCCGTTGCCCAGGATGGAAAGCAGTGGTGTGATCATGGCTCACTGCAGCATCAACTTCCCAGGTTATTCTCCTGCCTCAGCCTCCTGAGTAGCTGGGACTACAGGCATGCACCACCACGCGTGGCTAATTTTTTTGTATTTTTAGTAGAGATGGGGTTTTCCCATGTTTTATATTTTTGTATTTTTAGTAGAGACGGGGTTTCGCCATGTTGCCCAGGCTGGTCTCGAACTCCTAGGCTCAAGTGATCTGCCCACCTCAGCCTCCCAAAGTGCTGGGATTACAGGAATGAGCCACCGCCATCTAGCTGTGCCTAATTTGTAAATTAAACTGTATTATAGGCCGGGCGCGGTGGCTCAAGCCTGTAATCCCAGCACTTTGGGAGGCCGAGACAGGTGGATCACGAGGTCAGGAGATCGAGACCATCCTGGCTAACACGTGAAACCCCGTCTCTACTAAAAAAATACAAAAAAAAAAAACTAGCCGGGCGAGGTGGCGGGCGCCTGTAGTCCCAGCTACTCTGGAGGCTGAGGCAGGAGAATGGCATAAACCCGGGAGGTGGAGCTTGCAGTGAGCTGAGATCTGGCCACTGCACTCCAGCCTGGGCGACAGAGCGAGACTCCGTCTCAAAAAAAAAAAAAAAAAAAAAAAACCAAACTGTATTATAATTAGGGATGTATGGGCGAAAACATGGTATATACAAGGTTCAGTAAGTAGCTCTCTGTGGTTTTAGGCATCTACTGGGGTTCCTGGAGCGTTTCCCCAGTGGATAAGTGGGGACTACTGTACCCAGAAGAATTTAAAACAAGCAAATCATTGTACGTGCACATTCACAGCTGGATTATTCACAATCACCAGAAAGTGGAGGAAGCCCAAATGTCCACCAACAAATGAATAGCTAGGCTGGGCGCGGTGGCTCATGGCTGTAATCCCAGCACTTTGGGAGGCCAAGGCTGGCAGATCCATTGAGCTCAGAAGTTTGAGACCAGCCTGGCCAACATGGTGAAACCTTGTCTTTACTAAAAACACAAAAATGAGCTGGGCATGGTGGTGCATGCTTGTAGTCCCAGCTACAGAGGACATGGAAGCAGGAGGACCATTTGAACCAGAAAGCGGCAGAAAGCGGAGGCTGCAGTGAGCCCAGATCATGCCACTGCACACCAGCCTGGGGGACAGAGCGAGAGACTCTGTCTCAAAAAAAAAAAAAAAAAAAAAAAAAAGCCTCCAGGCTTGGTTGTGGAGCAGCAGGGGTTGGGGACTCAGTGGAGAGGAAGCAGGACTACTCCAGAGGCCTCGTCACACTCCCTCAGCCCCGGTAACTGTTATGCACAGCATTCCCCATGGACTTGGGAACTGGGCCAGATGCTGTACTAGGTGCTGGAGAGAGAATGGAGAAGAATGCAGTCCCCCAAAGCTGGTGTTGAATGAAGTCAGCAGGGAGAATTTGGAGAGGTGGGAGGAAGGGGGCTCCCCGGGAGGGGGCGCACAGCCTAAGCAAAGGCTGGAGCCTGGACTGAGAATGCCCATGTAGGGGTGTCAGGAGACAAGAAGCAGGGAAGAGAGGCAAGACTGTTGGAGGGGAATGGCCGTTTGAGAGAGACACAGAGGAGGAGGAGGAGGAGATGATGAGGCGCCTCCAGCCCAGCCCAGCCCAGCCGTCTCAGCCACCTGAACACTCCCATCCACTGCCCAAACTTCTCCTGCTCTCCTGGGGCTCTCAGTGACCCGCTCCTCCTCGAGTAACACACTTTTTTTTTTTTTTTTTTTTTTTGGTTTGAGACACAGTCTCACTCTGTCACCTAGGCTGGAGTACAGTGGTGTTATCTTGGTTCACTACAACCTCCACCTCCCAGGTTCCAGCGATTCTCCTGCCTCAGCCTCCAAAGTAGCTGGGACTACAAGCTCGTATCACCATACCAGGCTAATTTTTGTATTTTTAGTAGAAGATGGGATTTCACCATGTTGGCCAGGCTGGTCTCGAACTCCTGACCTCAGGTGATCCACCCGCCATGGCCTCCCAAAGTGCTGGGATTACAGGAGTGAACCACCGCGCTCGGTCTGTTTTTTTTTTTTAAGAGACAGGGTCTCGCTCGGTCACCCAGGCTCGAGTACAGTGGGATCATAGCTCATCAAAGCCTCAAACTCCTGGGCCCAGGTGATCCTCCTGCATCAGTCATCTGAGGAGCTGGGACCACAGGCACACACTACCATGACTGGCTAATTTATTTTTTAGTTTTTAATAGATACAGGGTCTTGCTACGTTGCCCAGGCTGGTCTCGAACTCTTGACCTAAAGCGATCCCCCTGCCTCGGCCTCCCAAAGTGCTGGGATTACAGGCATGAGCTGCCGCATCCAGCCTGGGTGTAATTTGAAGGAAAGGCTGATCGGCTCTATGTGGACTGACTGTGGGTGTGAAAGAGGCTTGTGTAGATTTGCCTCAGCCTGGGGCAACCACGCTCCATGCTCACACACACAGTCACAAACACACTCAGAGAAATACAAATACACTCTCAGTCTACCACACACAAACCCTCATCCACATACACACATCTGCCCACAGACACACTTAAACACACAAAGACACGGCCACACCCATCCACCCACCCCCACACACGCTCACCCATCCACCCCACCACTCGCACATACGAAAACACACACCTCAGTCAGCCACACACACTCTAACACACATGCTCACTCAGAGATATGCTCACACACATGCTCACACCCACACCTGCTCACATACACTTAAACACACCCAAACACATTCAGACATATAACCACATATTTACCCACAAACACCCACATTCACACACACACATCCACCCACCCAGATACACACTCCAATACACACAGTCACTCATAAAGACAGAGACACTCACACTCAAAGACATGTTTAGTCACATACCTCTGCACACACCCACACCTGTTCACACACACTCAGACACACAGACACAGTCACAATCACACACATTTAGTCACACACTCAAAAACACACATATACACTAAAATACACAGGCTGAGCGCCGTAGCTCATGCTGGTAATCCCAGCACTTCAGGGGACCAAAGTAGGCAGGCGAATCACCTGAGGTCAGGAGTTCAAGACCAACCTGGCCAACATGGTGAAACCCTGTCTCTACAAAAATACAAAAATAAGCCGGGCATGATGGTGCGTGCCTGTAATCCCAGCTACTTGGGAAGCTGAGCCGGGAGAATTGCTTGAACCCTAGAGGTGGAGGTTGCAGTGAGCTGAGATCACACCACTGCACTCCAGCCTGGATGACAGAGCAAGATTCTGTCTCAAAAATAAACAAACTAGGCCGGCACAGTGGCTCACGTATGTAATCCCAGCACTTTGGGAGGCCAAGGCGGGCGGACCATGAGGTCAAGAGATCAAGATTGGCTGGGCGTGGAGGCTCACGCCTGTAATCCCAGCACTTTGGGAGGCTGAGGTGGGCGGATCACGAGGTCAGGAGATCGAGACCATCCTGGCTAACACGGTGAAACCCCGTCTCTACTAAAAAATACAAAAAACGTAGCCAGGTGTGGTGGCGGGCGCCTGTAGTTCTAGCTACTCGGGAGGCTGAGGCAGGAGAATGGCGTGAACCCAGGAGGCGGAGCTTGCAGTGAGCCGAGATCACGCCACTGTACTCCAGCCTGGGCAACAGAGCGAGACTCCGTCTCAAAAAAAAAAAAAAAAGAGATCAAGACCATCCTGGCCAACATGGTGAAACCCTGGCTCTATTAAAAATACAAAAAAATTAGCTGGGTGTGGTGGCGGGCACCTGTAGTCCCAGCTACTTGGGAGGCTGAGGCAGGAGAATCGCTTGAACCCGGGATGCAGAGGTGGCAGTGAGCTGAGATCGTGCCACTACACTCCAGCCTGGGTGACAAAGCAAGACTCTGTCTCAAAAATTAAGTAAGTAAATAAAATACACAAAACCAGACGAATACACAGTCCCACTCATAGATGCATGCAATCACACAGACACACTCCAAGTTCCAGTCTTACATGCTCCAGCACTCACCCCACACACAATCGCTCACACAGGCCTGTGCTTCCATCATCTGTGCTCAGGTGTCTTGTCCTTGGAGTAGCCTGATGAGCTCTCACATCTGGGATGGGTGGGTGCAGTGGCTCATGCCTGTCATCCCAGCACTTTTGAGAGGCCGAGGCAGGAAGATTGCTTGAGGCCAGGAGTTTAAGACCAGCCTGGGCAACACAGCAAGACCCCGCCTCTACAAAAAAATAAAATTAGCCAGGCATGGTGGCATGCGCCTGTAGTCCCAGCTACTCAGGAGGCTGAGGCAGGGGGATTGGGGGACTGCTTGAGCCTGAGAGGTCAGAGCTGCAGCGAGCTGTGATTATGCCACTGTGCTCCAGCCTGGGCAACAGAGTGAGACCCCATCTCCAAAAAAAAAAAAAAAAAAAAACAGTCTGGGATAAAGGGAAAAGTCCTCCCATGACACCTCCACTCTGTCCTGCTGTTCTTTATATTTTTTTTACAAGCTCCAAACTGCCCTGGTTAAGGCTGGGCCTCGTGGCTCATCTCATGCCTGTAATGGCAGCACTTTGGGAGGTCGAGGTGGGCGGATCACCTGAGGTCAGGAGTTCGAGACCTGCCTGGCCAATTACAAAACCCTGTCTCTACTAAAAATACAAAAAAATTAGCCAGGCGTGGTGGCATGCGCCTATAACCCCAGCTACTTGGGAGGCTGAGGCAGAAGAATCGCCTGAACCCAGGAGATGGAGGTTGCAGTGAGCCAAGATGCCACTGCGCTCCAGCCTGGGTGACAGAGTGAGACTCTGTCTCAAAAACAAACAAACTGCCCTGGCTGATCTTGGGATGGAAGCTTTTGGAAGCAAGTGGCTGGTGCAGGGAGGGACTTGCCAGTGTATGTATGGGTATAGGCCTCTGGCGGGGGGGCACGGGCTGGCTGTGGGGAGATGGACTGGGTCTTATTCTCATCTGCACAGGGCCCAGCACCCATTAAGCGCTCAGTGAACATGTATTGAATGCATTAAAAAAACACGTTAAGGTGAACAGGTGCACCGGCAGGTGTCCAGTGCTTTTAGGCGGGCGCTTCATCCAGGAATGAGAGCCCACTCACCTCTGTGACATGATCTTGAAGGCGTCTGGCAGGTAGCACTGCACATTCTCCATCTGGAAAGGGTCAGCGTCGCAAATCTTGTCGTCCGTGCGCCCGTAGTTGGCGTTTTCCACCATGATGACGTCGCTGCCAGGGCACCGCAGCTCGATGGGGTAGCCTTCACACGCCAGCTCCCGGCGCATCAGCCCGAACGGGAGCCCGGCCCGGCTCAGGCCTGCGGAGAGGGTTGGGGACGGTGTCACTCCCGGGCCTGGGCCAGGAAGGAAAGACCCTGCCCGCTGCGGAGAAAACACCACCTCTAGCTTGGCTGAGTCCCGGAAGCCGGCGGAGGCAGCCTCAGTTGATTCAGCTGTAGAATGGGCCTCTCGGTGTGCCCATGTGTGTAGTGAGGACATTAACCTGGTGCAGAGAGAGCCTGGACTCTCACCTCCTAGGAGGTGACGTCTAAGCCTTTGGAATGCTCTGCTTAAGAGTGTCTGTTTTCCTAGGGTGCTTGGGCTACACCAGATATGCTGTTATGGATTGAACCGTGTCCCCCCGAAAATTCATATGCTGAAGTCCTAACCCCCAGGACCTGAAAATGTGACATTGTTTGGAGATAAGGTCTTCATAGAGGTACATTCAAATGAGGCTGTTAGGGTAGGCCCCGATCCAGTATGACTGTGGTCCTTATAAATATGGGAAATTTTGGCCAGGCGCAGAGGCACACACCTGTAACCCCAGCATTGTGGGAGACCGAGGTGGGCAATTGACCAGTAGTTCTAGACCAGCCTGGGCAATATAGTGAAACCCTGTCTCTACAAAAATACACAAATTAGCCAGACGTGGTGGCACATACCTGTAGTCCCAGCTACTGGGGAGGCTGACGTGGGAGGATCACCTCAGCCCAGGAGGTTGAGGCTCCAGTGAGCCATGACTGTGCCATTGCACTCTAGCCTGGGCAACAGAGCGAGACCCTATCTATCTCAATAAAAAAAGAGGTGGTGGGAGGTTGTTTTTAAGGCAGGATCTTCCTCTGTCACCCAGGTTGGAGTGCGGTGGTGTGATCACGGCTTACTGAAGTCTCGACCTCCTGGGCTCAGGTGATCCTGCCTCAACCTCCCAAGTAGCTGGGACTACAGATTCACGCCAGCATGCCCAGCTAATTTTTTAAATTGTTTCATAGAAATGGGTCCCTTTTCTGTGTTGCCCAGGCTAGTCTGGTCTCAAGCACTCCTCCTGCCTTGGCCTCCCAGAGTGCTAGGATTATGGGACTGAGCCCTCGCACCCGGCTAAAAGGGGAGATGTGGGCACAGACGTGTAAAGGGGTAAGACAATGTGAAGACATAGGAGCAGGCGGCCATCTAGCTACAAGTCAAGGAGAGGCCAGGCACAATGGCTGACACTGGTAATCCCAGCACTTTGGGAGGCTGAGGTGGGTGGATCACCTGAGGTCAGGAGTTTGAGACCAGCCTGGCCAACATGGTGAAACCCCGTCTCTACTAAAAAACTACAAAAATTAGCTGGGTGTGGTGGCGGGTGCCTGTAATCCCAGCTACTCAGGAGGCTGAGGCAGGAGAATTGCTTGAACCCGGGAGGTGGAGGTTGCAGTGATGGCATGCAAAGATCATGCCATTGTACTCCAGTCTGGGCGACAAACAAACAAAGACACATGGTCTCTGGTACTTTGTTAGGATGGCCCTAGTTAATGAATATGCTAATAAGACTTAGGGCAGGAGCTCTGGGTCACATGGTCTCAGCTGACCTCTAGACGTGCTAGAGATTCAGCTCAGCCCTGCAGGTGGTCAATCAGGGCTACAGAACTGAACTCCAATACAGACCCTGGACAACAAGGCTTGGGGGAGCCTCTCTGGTTGGCAGTATACCATGTGTGTTGTCACACATTGTTGCCGGGAGAGTTAACGCTGTCCAGGACTCCACTGGAGGGGGTAAACTCCATGAACGGAACTTTCTTGGACTCTACCCTATGCACCTCTTCCCTTGCCTGATTTTTATTTGTTTTGAGACAGAGTCTCGCTCTGTCACACAGGCTGGAGTGCAGTGGTGCAATCTCAGCTCACTGCAACCTCTGCCTCCCAGGTTCAAGTGATTCTCCTGCCTCAGCCTCCCAAGTAGCTGGGATTACAGGCGCCCGCCACCACACCCCACTCATTTTTGTATTTTTAGTAGAGACGGGGTTTCGCCATGTTGGCCAGGCTGGCCTCAAACTCCTGACCTCAGGTGATCTGCCCGCCTGAGCCTCCCAAAGTGCTGGGATTATAGGCATGAGCCACCGCGCCTGGCCTGTTTGTTTTTTCAGACAGGGTCTCACTCTGTCACCCAGGTTGGAGCACAGTGGCGCGATCATAGTTCACTGTAGCCTCAAACTACTGGGCTCAAGGGATCCTCCTGCCTCAGCCTCCCGAGTAGCTGGGACTATAGGCACATACCACCATGCCTGGCTAATTTTTTTTATTTTTTGTAGAGATGGGGTACTTGCCATGTTGCCCAGGCTGGTCTTGAACTCTTGAGCTCAAGCAATCCTCCCGCCCTGGCTTCCCAAAGCATTGGGATTACAGGAGTGAGCCAGTGCACCTGGCCCTGATTTTAATCTGTATCCTTTCGATGTAATAAACTGAGAGCATAACATCTTCTAGTCAGTTCCAAGTCCTTCTAGTGAATGATCATACCTGAGTGTTCTCTGGGGGACCCCCCAAATGTATTGTTGGTGTCAGAAGTGAAGCTTGTCTTGGGGGCTTCCCTAACTTCACCCCACCCCATGCGAGGAGCAGAGAAAACACGGGAATGAACTCATGTTTCCAGAAGAAACCACAGGAGACTGGTTTTGCGGCTGACAGGGCAGATGTGAGGGCTGGTTCAGAATGCAGATTCGGGCCCTATGCTGGGCCTGCTGAATCAAAATTGCAGGGGTGAAGCCAGGAACCTGCAGGGTTCTGTGCCAACCAGGTGATGGTGATGCACGATCAAGTTCGAACAGTGGCCGGGCGCAGTGGCCCATGCTTGTAATCGCAGCATTTTGGGAGGCCGAGCTAGGTGGATCACCTGAGGTCAGAAGTTCAAGATCAGCCTGGCCAACATGGTGAAACTCCATCTCTACTAAAAATACAAAAAATTAGCTGGGTGTGATGGCAGGCATCTGTAATCCCAGCTGCTCAGGAGGCTGAGGCAGGAGAATCGCTTGAACCCGGGAGGCAGAGGTTGCAGCGAGCCAAGATCATGCCACTGCACTCCAGTTTGGGTGACAAGAGCAAAACTCCATCTCAAAGTAAAAATATAAAAAAAGTTTGAACACCCACTGTTGTTCTCTCCCCAACCTCAGTTTCCCAATCTGTAAAATGAGCACCTACAGCCCCGGGTCATCCTGCAGGGATTCTGTGCCTTAGAAAATGCTCTTGAAGGAAGCAAGGAGCATGGCACCCTGTACATGGAGGGTGCCTGATCAGTATCATCTGGGAGACCTCCTGGGTTTTCACTGTGGCAAGGAAGGGACGTGTCCTGAGCAGGCTGAGCTCCCGGGGCGGACCGCATTGCCCCATGTCGGCCATCATTTTGTACCACACGGGGACGGAGAACCAGAATGTAGGAGCCAGACAGCCGGCTGGGATTGGAATTCCAGCCCGGCCACTCCCTGGATGCAGCCTCATCCAAGTCACTGACCGCCTCTGTGCCTCTGTCCCTCCCCTGAGGGGCAGAGAGGACAATTCCCATCTCACAGGGCTGTTGTGATGGCTCCAGGGTGTTAATGTGCGCAGAGCACAGTAAGATGATATGAATGCTAATTATTGTTATTATGAGTATTATTAAGGCGGTTTGTCTGCACAACAGAGGGTGCCTGGCAGGGCCCATGCTGGCCGGGGCAGCACCTCCTGTGACGCTGGTCCCAGCCAGGCCGTGCGGGGTGCTGGAGGGGAGCAGGGATTCAGCCAGGGGCCCAGCGCCCTAATGTGGGGACCGTCTCTTGGAGGTGAAGGAAGTGACCCCCTGCCGTACGAGGTTTCGGGGGGGCACTCGTGTGGGACAGTTACGGAGTCGAACCTTTCCAGAGATCTGGGTGGGTACCCCAGGGGTATGGCAGGGAGGCCCCTGGGGTTTTTTGGGGTGAGTTGAGTCCCAGCAGGGGGAACATTTCACATGTGTTCCTCCAGCACCATCTGCCTCCTCATCTAATTTTAGCCTTCCCGGGCTTGGGAGGGAGGGCCGGGGGTGGAAGCCTGGCTCAGATGGGTCTGGGGGTGGAGGCGGCCCCTCCCGGCCCAGCTGGGGCTATGGGGCAGGACCTGGATGGGCAGAGAATGTAGCAGCAGGGGAGTGAGGCTGCTGGCCAGCGGGGCAGTGCCAAGGCCCTGGGGCCCAGCCGAACCGTGTCCCTTCAACCTTTGGAGCTTTCCAGAGGGCAGGGCCGGAGGGAGCAGAGTCACCCGCTGATGCCCTTCACACAGGGATGTCAGGGCGGGCAGGGGGCACATCCCAGGGTGAGGGGCCAGGCCCACTGGCCTCTTCTCTTGGCCTCTCACCTTATCCCACCCTTGCCCCTGGCCTGGGCCTGCCACGGGGCCAGTAATTGAGTAACCGGTGAGGGTGGGCGGGCAGGCTTGGGGCACTAATTGTGGCGTGTGCAGGATCCCAGGGCCGGCATAGGGCTGAGCGGGTAATTAGTTGTTTTTAAATAAACGTCAGCGGGCATGCTTTAATTAAGCCTTCTTCCCAGTGAGAGCCTTGAAGATGTAATCACAGAGAGAGAGAGAGAGAGAGAGAGAGAGGAGCATCGGCTCACCAAGGCCTGTCCTCGTCCCAGGGGCCACAGCAGGATGGCCCCTACCAACCTGGCCCAGCCGACTTGTTGGAGGTGAGGGGATGGTCCAGGGGCCTCTTGGTGGCGCTGGGGTGTGTGTTACCACTGAGTCTTCCACTGGCCTGCTGCAGCTGAGGTCTGGGCAGGGCGGGGGGCTGTGATTCTTTACTGAGTGATCAGGAGGGTTTTCAACATTTTATCTGCCCTCCCAGCAGGGTTTGGGAGCCAAGGCCCCTCCCCGGCGCCAGCAGCACCTACCTTGGGTGGCCGAGGTGACCAGGACGGCGGTGACACACAGATTCCAGAGCACTGCGGCCAGGCGGGCCATGGTGGCAGCCGGGTGCGTGTCCGGGACTCTCAGTGACCTGTGCGGGGGGCTTCGCCCCGCATCACCTGGCGGGCACCACGGCCTGGACCACCAGCCTGGGGGAGGACAGGGAGAGTGAGGTGGGGATAGGGCCTCCAGGCTGCTCCCCTCTCCTCCTGCTAGTGGCTGAGTGGCTCTGAGAGGCTGAGGTCCAGCACGTCCCTCGAGCCAGCCCTATCTGGAGGGGCCCCTCCAGGGCCTGCAGCTCACACCACAGTCCCCACCCCTACACGCAGCAGGCAGACCCACCCATCTGGGCACCTCTGGGCAAAGAGACTGCCAACTCTTCCCCGCCGGAACCTCCTGGGACAGCTCCTCCGGAAGCCTCTTCCCCATGACCCTGTCCTGACCCTGCCCACTCACCTCCCCGACCCGCATCCTCACTGTGAGAAAGGAGGTGATGAGCGTCCTCCCGAGTGAGGGACCCAGGCGTGCAGCCCAACCTGCTGCCTCCCTGTCTTGGGCAGGAATCCAAGTCCCCGCCCCCAGCCCCCTGCTTCCTGTCTCTCAAGCTCTGGTGGCTAATTAGAATCTAGCTGGCGCCACAGATCGGGAACCAGGGACGCCCGAGTCCCCTCTTTCCTCTCTGGGAGACCTTCAGGGTAAGCTGGAGACAGGCAGGCGGGATGGGAGGGGGGCACCGCCTCCCCCTCTGGGGGGAGGGCAGGGGGGATGCGGGAGGGGTGAGAATTGTGTGCCGTCCCTTGCCATCCTCCCCACCTGCTCTGTCACCAGGCATCGCGGCTCAGTTCTTTTCCTTTTTTTATTTTAGAAACCGGGTCTCACTCTGTTGCCCAGGCTGGAGTGCAATGATACAATCATAGCTCACTGCGGCCTCGACCTCCCAGACTCAAGCGATCCTCCCATCTCAGCCTCCCGAGTAGCTGAGATCGCAGGCTTGCACCTCTACCACACCAGCTAATTTTTAAATTTGTTGCAGAGAGGAGGTCCTGCTGTGTTGCCCAGACTGATCTCAAACTCCTGGGCTAAAGGATCTTCCTGCCTGGGCCCCCCAAAACTTTGGGATTACAGGAGTGAACCACTGTGCCCAGTCCAGGGCTCGGTTCCAACCAGTTTCTTCCTGCCTTAAGGCTGCTCCTTCTCACCTCTCTCCCTGCCTCAGTCTCCCCAGAGCCTCTCAAGTTTGCATGCTCAAATATCTGTCCTCAGCTCTTTATCTACACCCTGGTTCTCCAGGTGTGGCCCCAGCATACTGGAATCAGCCTTGCCAGGAACTTGGTAGAAACGCAGTCTCTCTTTTTTTTTTTTTTTTTTTTTTTTTTTTGAGATAGTCTCGCTCTGTCGCCCAGGCTGGAGTGCAGTGGCGCGATCTCACCTCACTGCAAGGTCTGCCTCCTGGGTTCATGCCATTCTCCTGCCTCAGCCTCCCGAGTAGCTGGGACTACAGGCGCCCGCCACCGTGGCCAGCTAATTTTTTTTTGTATTTTTAGTAGAGATGGGGTTTCACTGTGGTCTCGATCTCCTGACCTTGTGATCCATCCGTCTCGGCCTCCCAAAGTGCTGGGATTACAGGCGTGAGCCACCACGCCCGGCCTCTCCTTCTTTTATTGAGAGACAGGGTCCTGCTCTGTTGCCCAGGCTGGAGTACAGTGGCACAATGACGGCTCACTGCAACCTCCAGATCCTGAGTTCAAGTGATACTCCCACTTCAGCCTTTCCAGTAGCTGGGACCACAGGCTCTCGCCAACACGCCCAGCTAATTTTTAATTTTTTTATAGAAAAAGGATCTCGCTATATTGCCTAAGCTGGTGTCGAACTCCTGGCCTCAAATGATCCTCCTGCTGGCCAGGTGCAGTCTCAAAAAAAAAAAAAAAAAAAAAGATCCTCCCGCCTCAGTCTCCCAAAGTGCTGGTATTACAGGCGTGAGCCACTGTGCTGGCCAGAAATACACATTCTCTGAGGTAGGCCCTCCAGCATGGGAGCCCCTGCTCTGTCACATCCAGCTATCATCGCAGCCTGTCCCATCTCAGGCTGTCCTGGGCTCTCAGTACTATCGTTGAGGCAGCACTTTCAAATCTCTTATGTCCAGCCTGGGATCTCTCCTCCAAGCCCCCGCTACTATTTCCCTGCTGAAAACCGAAACTCTTGCAATTGGCCCAGTTAGCTCCCTGACCCCATTTCTGCTCCAGTCACTCCTGCCATTCCTGCACCACAGCAGGCCCTGCCCCAGGGCCTTTGCACCTGTCGCTTCTGCCAACCCACTGTCCACATGGCCAGCTCCTTCAGGCCTCTGCTCAGATAGAACTATTCACCTGGTGTATATAGAATGTCCTTTTCATGGGGCAGGGATCATTGAACTATTTTGCTCAGGGTAGCCGTATCCCCAACTTTTATTTACTTTTATTTTTTTTAGAGATAGGATCTTGCTCTGTCACTCAGGCTGGAGTGCAGTGGTGAAATCATGCTTCACTGCAGCCTCCATCACCCAGGCTCAAGTGATCCTCCTGCCTCAGCCTCCCTAGTAGCTGAGACCACAGGTATACACCATCACGTCCGGCTAATTTATTTTATTTTGTAAATATGAGGTCTTGCTATGTTGCCCAGGCTGAACATGAACTTCTGGCCTCCAGAGAGCCTCCTGCCTCAACATCCCAAAGTGCTGGGATTACTGTGTGAGGCCACCCCCCACAGCTGACTTCATATCCTCAACTTTTAGAATAGGCCCGGCACGCGGCAATGAATTATTTGTTGAATGAATCTCAGATCCTAAAGCTAGGACTCTGCCTTGATTCCTCACCTTCTCTGTCATCCCCCTCCCAGAAGCCATCGGTAAGTCCTGTGGGCTCCGCCTCTAAAGTATCTCGCCGACCTGCCCGCTTCTGGATCCAAGCACAGCACCCAGGTCCATGCCACCATCCTATCCTGTACGTTGTCCCGGCCTCCTTGCCCGCCTCCCAATCCGCCCTCCACTCAGAGCTAAGGGACCACGTAATGACGCTGATCCGAACATTAACCAGTCTCTGCTGGGGTCTCAGTTCCTCACCAGAGCCCAGAGGCTGTGGCTGAACTGGTACCACCAAGCTCTCCAAGCCCCATTCTGTCCTCCCTCCTGTTCCTGAAACATTCCAGTTCCAGCCCCCAAGCAGGATCCCTGCACGTTGGCTGCAGCTGCTCATTGTTCAGGGCTCAGCAGCAAGGTCACCCCAGCAGAGTGACCTACCCTGGCCCCCTGCAAACGAAACAGCCCTCGCCTGCTGCCCTCAGCCGCCATCCTTTTCCGTGTTTTTAATTCACAGCTCTCAAGTGAGCACCTGAAATTACCTTTTTATATCAACACAAGCTTCCTGAGAGAGGCCCTTACAAATGAGCACACGGCCGGGCACGGCGGCTCACGCCTATAATCCCAGTACTTTGGGAAGCCGAAGCGGGCGGATCAACAGAGGTCAAGAGTTCAAGACCAGCCTGGCCAACATGGTGAAACCCCGTCTCTACTAAAAATGCTAAAAAATTAGCCAGGCGCGGTGGCGGGTGCCTATAATCCCAGCTACTCGGGAGGCTGAGACATGAGAATTGGTTGAACCCAAGAGGGAGAGGTTGCAGTGAGCCAAGATCAAGACATTGCACTCCAGCCTGGGCAACGGAGCCAGACTGTCTCAAAAATAGATAAGCCAAGTGCGGTGGCTCACGCCTATAATCCCAGCACTTTGGGAGGCCGAGGCGGGCGGATCACGAGGTCAGGAGACTACTCGGGATGCTGAGGCAGGAGAATGGTGTGAACCCAGGAGGTGGAGCTTGCAGTGAGCTGAGATCGTGCCACTGCACTCCAGCCTGAGTGACAGTGAGACTCTGTCTCAAAAAATAATAATAATAAATAAATAAATAAACAAAATAAAAGGCACAGGCCCTCAATAAATAAAGATCCCCACAGGGCAGGACACCTGCCTCCAGACCTCAGTCTCCTCACATGGGAAATGGGAAGATAATATCTGCTAGACAGCCCTAAACACCCCCTCTCCAGCCTTCCAGCTCTCTGCCCGCTTCCCCTCTCATGCCCACTCCTGATGCCAGCTCCCTCTCCACTGCCCCAGCTTCTTCAGTAAACCCCCCCCAGTCACCTCCAGCCCCCATCTGCATCTCCCCTCACATCCCTGACAAGACATGGCTGGTGTCACTTTCAGATCATTTTACAGCATGTTACCCCCCGAGCCGCCACCAGCCCCCATCCGCTGACTAGACACGGCTGGTGTCACTTTCAGATCATTTTACAGCGTGTTACCCCCCAGCCGCCACCAGCCCCCATCCGCATCTCCCCCCACATCCCTGACTAGACACGGCCGGTGTCACTTTCAGATCATTTTCCAGCACGTTACCTTGGGGATGGGGAGTGGCTTTCTCATTTCAACTTCCTCATTTCCCCCCCAACTTCCCAGAACCACAGAAAGGTTCAGGGGAGCCCCAAGCTGAGGAGTACTTCCCTCTCTGGGTCTCCAAGTGCTTTCTTTCACACTGCAACAGGTATCCTAGCAAGAGGAACTGCTGAGGGGAAGTAAAAATGGCTGGCTTGGTGTGGTGACTCATGCCTGTGATCCCAGTGCTTTGGGAGGCTAAGGTGGGTGGATCACTTGAGCCCAGGAGTTCAAGGCTGCAGTGAGCTATGGTCGTGCCACTGCACTCCAGCCTGGGCAACATGTCTCTAGAATTTTCTTTTTTTTTTTTGGAGACAGAGTCTCGCTCTGTTACCAGGCTAGAGTGCAGTGGTGCGATCTCGACTCACTGCAACTTCCGCCTCCTGGGTTCAAGCAATCCTCGTGCCTCAGCCTCCCGAGTAGCTCGGACTACAGGCATGCACCACCACGCCCAGCTATTTTTTTGTATTTTTAGTAGAGATGGGGTTTCACCATGTTGGCCAGGATGGTCTCGATCTCTTGACCTCGTGATCGGCCTGCCTCAGTCTCCGAAAGTGCTGGGATTACAGGCATGAGCCACAGCGCCCAGCCAATTTTTTTTTTTTAATTTGGTGTGGTGGCACCTAGCTACTGGGGCGGCTGAGGCAAGAGGATCACTTGAGCCCAGGAGTTTGCAAGGCCGCATTAAG